GGGGGTTCAGGGTTTGGGGCAGGGTCGGGGGTCAATGGGCGGGGGCGGGGGTCCTGGATCCCTGCACTGGGGGTCTGGGGGTCTGGGGGTCAAACCTCAAGCCCGGCTCGGCCCCCGGGGATACCCACGTGACAACCCGAGTCTCATGTATGGTGGGGGCCACGCTGCCAAATCGTCATTGATAGGATAGATAACCATCATCGGTTTGAGTTCTGGTAGAATAGAACGCGTCATTCATAAACCGAGTATCATGACCAATATACAAAAACGAAAAGGAAAAAAGGAAGAAACAGCCCCCCTAGCAAAACCATCTTCGGTGTTCGTTATCTATGGCTCAGATGGTGTTCCGTTCTCGATTGATTCAAAATTTTGAAACACCCCCGCCGCCGCCTCCTCCCACCTTTGCTTCTCTCACACAGTCACACCCGTTTCTACTCCTCCTGCTGCTCTGTCTTCCCTAGTATTCACCCTTCTCTATCGTAGCTCTCCTCCTCACTTCCCATCATTCTCCCTTTATCCGCTTGGCCTCACCCATCATCATTCTCATCACCGTCACCATGATCTTCTTCGGTGTGATCGTGGGCTCCTTCTCCCGCTCCTCCCACTGTTCGCCCGTATCCTCCCGCTCTCCTCCTCGTTTCATCTACGATCTCAAGGTCTACAAGTCCCTTCATCATGTTCGCTTCACTGATCATCGCTCTCTTCACCCTCGCCATGATCTTCTTCGACGTCATCGTGCGTGCTCCTCTTCCCGCCCGTTCTCCCACTGTTGGTCCTCCTCCATCTGTTGCCCTCCTCCTCCCTCCATCTTCCCTCTCGCCAATCATCCTCCCCCCACCCTTCCTCTCACGCTTTCCGGGAACTTCCCTTTCGATCCTCCAGACATGCAACTTTCCCAGGCATCTTCTCGTTTGCAGGCGCCATCCTCCTACCCCCTACCATCTCCCTCTCTGCCACCGCACAGCGCCCAACCCCGTCGCCCTCAAGACCGGACGCTCCAGTGCAATAACTTACATTTCGACCCATCGCTCGATCGTCGGTGTCAGAAAACGCCCGCCTGCCTGAAACACCGACGCGCGCATCCCATTGCCGGATCATCAAGCCAGCACATGAAATCCGCATGCGGCCCGCTGCGCAACACCTTCCCGAAGTAACTACCTGGGAAAAAAGAAGGAGACCGTCCAGCGCAAGCCGACGCGTCCTGGGCCTCCCGTTCTTTCACCCCCCTCTGCTCCTGCTTGGCCTGCGGAGCCTCCTGGTTTCTTCCTGGGTCCGCCGTGGCACCGCGCCCAGAGATGCTCGCACGGTTTTTCCTGGGCCCGGGGGGAGCGTCACGGGACGGATAAATGAAGAAATGGTCCAATGTGGCAATTAAAAAAAAATAAGCAAAAATTGCATCTGCCCCACTTAAAGATGGGAACACCGGCTATACCCAGTTCTAGTGCCAACTTACGTCTATACTCAGAAAACGGCTGATGGAGATTGTTTGCATGCCCAGGACCGAGGTGGACCCAGGTTGTTACCACAAAATTGCGGTTATGACCTAGGCTGTTTTTCCCCGGCCTGGCATGGCCCCCGGGCAGGGTTCCGGGCAGGCTTAGCGCCAAAAAAAAAAACTCCAGAAACAAATGACATTGTGAAGAATTGCAATACAAACAACTCTTGGCTGAGGGTTATTCAATACACAATTTTTTATATGGATTGTTGTATTTCCTAAGTTTTCTTAGTTGTTGGTAACACAGTGTTGAAGCCACCAGCCACAGATAGGACTGCTTCTGTGGTCATTTTAGTCAATTGTTCGCTTTTTTCATTTGGGAATTAGCTCACAAGGTCTTTCATAGCATGCTACAACCTGTACTGGATAATCTGTGACATTTGTCCTTTCGTGTGGTTACTGTGATACCCCCTATGGGTTCGGCCGGTGATAGGCCGGTGATGCCGTCCCCCAGCGGGACCACCACAACTTTGCTAAGGGACGCCGAGCCCGGTTCTTGGCCTTTGGAAAAGCAATATTAAAAATAAAATAAAAAAGAATTCCTCACCGAATCGTAGATAAAAAAGAAAATAACAAAATCACACTAAGGCACCCCCCTTTAAACCCCCTTAGCGCCTTTAAAACGAATTTATACCCCCCTTCACCCCCCTTGAAAGCCAACTCTCAAAAAACGAAAAGAACCTGGATTTGGGGTCCTCGGGGATTTTTCTATTTTTTGGTTGGGGGCACGCCCGGGTACCCCGGGCGTCAGACGCCCCCAGGCATCACGCCCGGGTGCCCGGCCGGGCATGAAAATCTTCCTAGGTTATAACCTTTTTTTTTTTTTTTTTTTTTTTAAATAAGACCCCCCCCCCTGACATCAGGTAGGAGTGATGATAAGAACATACACTCCTACCTGACTCACCGGGGGCTCCAGTCTATTGGTGGGGAGCTGCAGCTGCTGGAAAAACGGGTCCAGCGTCCCTTGAAATACAATGAAAGGATAATAGAACAGCACATGCTGGGAACCGGGCCCAGCATCCCACATTTACAGCTACAACTACCGGAATGCACAAATTATGGATATACCCAGGCAAAATTATGGCCATACCCGGGACCTGAGGAGGAGAGGCCAAATTGTTCATACACCCTGGTACCCGGATGGCTGAAATTATACTCATACCCAGCAGCCGTTGGGCCACAACGGTCTATTTGGTGGGCATGAGCATAATTTTGTGCTCTGAATGCAGGGCCTGCGGGATTGGGTACACCTACAATTTCGCACAGGGGAAAAAGCTGGGTACCATGCAAAGTTGAACGCCCTCCAGGTGTAGATGCAAGTTCATGCTGGGTATAGCGGATATTCCCATCTTTAAGTGGGGTGCAGATGCAATTTTCCCAAAAAAATAACCACTATTATAAAAGCTGGGTAAACTTCACTTTTGGGGGCAAATTGGTTTGTCCCCTTTTGGGCCCTGTGTAAAACAATACATACCGTAAAACATGTCTGGGATGGGATAGGCTGAGGGTGTTCAAACCACCAGTACTTGCGAAAAGTGCGGCACTACACGCACCAGCCATTGCTACAGTGCTGCGACAGTTCGTTTCGAATGAATTTATCCATGCATGGCAGGCCCATTCATCCCAGCATGTTTTGGTCCGGAAGGTGCACGACGCACTTTGAGAAGTACTGGTGGTGTATGGGCAAGTACTGGTGGTGTATGGGCAGACACGTTCCAAAAAACTTGTGGACTGAATGTGGCCGTAGTGGCACTCAAATACCTGCCAAAAAGTTCGAGTCCATCCCAGCGTGCTCCAGAAGGTTCACGGCCGCACTCCAAAAAACTTGTGGACTGAATCTGGGTGGTAATGGCACTTGAATACTTTCTGGAAAGCGGTTTTTTTTTTTGTGAACCAGGCCGGTTGCTAGGGAGGGTGATAGGAGCAGCCAAGCCTAGCAGCCTTTCTGGTTGCTCCGATCTATTGGTGGGGAGCTGCACCTGTTGGAAAACGGGTCCAGCGTCCCCGTGGTCACAATTGGTTACAATTGAGTATTTCCAGAGTGGTCTTCAGCCAGCATTGATTGCCCTGATACAACCAGGGGAAGCTCGACTGTGCATGCCCTAATAAAATGACTGAAGACGAAGACACCCGTGAACTTTCTTGACCCGGTTTGGACATGATCATGGGCAGATCCGTCCTTTGAAGAAGCTGTAGTGTGTGACTACGCCCTGCATCTTGTCTGTTTATTCCCGCTGATCTGGTCTCCTTGAATTACCTCTGACAAACTGAAATTTCAGCAGGCGGGCCAGCTTTTGTCAGATCGAGGTCTGACTGCAGCGGATCATCATCCACCACCTCTTCTTCAGTGTTTCCTTCCAGCACATCACTGAAAAGGAAATGCACAGAACTTCACAACACTCCCAGCGAAGACAATTGCGCCGAGCCGCTATCAGCTAGGGGATTTTCTGCGACATCGCTACCTTCTGCCAGAGGGGACTACATAGACTTAACACAACAGGATATGGATTCAGTGCAAGATTACGAGGAGCTGCCAAGAGTTATGGGATCCCCTGCGGATTCATCATCTTCTGCAAAGAGGAAACGACACACGGAAAATAATGCAAATCCTGACGAGGATTGTGGACGGCTGCAAGGAGTTTCCAGCTTCGCCGCCAGGGGAGGTAGTCAGCCCACGCAGCAACGAATCATCAAGCAGGAGATTGTCGCAATCGAAGGAGAGGATGATGATGGAAGTGATCACTTTGAAAGAGTTGCTGACTGGTGCGATTATCATCGACACGAAGATCTGGAAGACCAAAGGTGAGCAGGTTTCACACTTATTTTTTCTGGGAGGGGGACAAAAAGCAATATCCGAGGACCAGGAGAGGTGATACATGCATCCCCTCCTAGTACTGGGCTCTGGTTGCTCTAATGGTGTTGATGGGAAGCTGAACCTGCTGGAAAGCGGGTCCAGCATCCCATTGACCACATTGAATATGATTGGAAGAAGATGTGATAATCTCCTGGCCGCATCTACTGCCCCGGGGAAACCGAGGCGTTCACTGCGCAGGAGTATAGAATAATGACTTTACCAGGTGCTGCCCAGCCTACCTCTTATGAGGTGCCAGATGTGTATGAAAAGATCTAGTAGAACTCCTACAGTATCTTATGCATTGGTAAAATCCCTCCGTGAAACCCTCCAACTCAGACAAAGCACTGCCCAGCCTACCTCTTCACCCCAATATGAGGCGCCAGATATGTGCATGAAAAGACCTAGTAGAACTCCTACAGCATCTTATGCATTGGTAAAACCCCTCCCTGAAATCCTCCAACTCAGAAGTTCAACTGGAGGCAGAAGGATGCTTAGTAGCATTTAGAGTAGGCAGTACAGTTTGAGATTGCTTTTTGTTGGTAGATTGTGACCTTGGTGTGTTTCTCTACTTTTTGCCTTTTTCTCATATTTTTGTTACTCAGTGACTACCTGATAAACTGTGGCTGGAGTTGGGCTTAGCCAAGAGGGCCTTGCCTTGCCCCGTGTGGCTACAGTACAACATTGTGAGGGATTCCGGTCCCAGTTCCTGGCTTGCAATCAATAATTTTTTTATTTTCTGTTTTGAAAGAAAAAGAAAAAAAGAAACCAGTGCGGCAGTGGCACTATTTGAAAGTTAAAACTATACAGGCAAAAAAAAAAAAGAGCGGCTGCCGAACTTGAAAGGGCAATGGAAGTGCCGCGGGCTGCTGTTGGTAATTTTTCATTCGTTTTCTTTCCCCGTCTGACGCCACGGCCGACCCCTGTAGTTATGAACCCCAGCCTGGACCACGGCGTGGGGCCGTGGGAGACCCCCAAGGGTTTTCCTTGGGACCCCTTCAATTAGGACGCGGTGTAACGATGCCGCCGAAAACCGTAAAACTTTCCAAGGACTTCCTCCTAAGTCCTGAGGATTTTCCAAGGAGGATCTAACAAGGTCCTAACTCAGTTGGTACACCCCAAGTTCGAATTGAGATAGGAAGGTGAAGCGCGCATGGCGCAAAGGGTAGCCTTTGCCCGATTCAGCGAATCCAAGGATGCTGGTCTGATTTGGCTCACCCACGCGGAGCTCCTGGAAGTGCAATAGACAAGGATTAGAAATAGTCCCGGTTGGAGTACCCCGGAGGTAACCCACTGCTTATGTTCACTTCTTAGGCGCAACACCCTTCAGGAACCCTCCTCTCTAGACAAAGCAGATTGGACGCCTATGTCTACCAATGAACCAGTCTGAATTCAGAGATCAGCAATAGCATTCACGGGACTGGCAACCCGCCCCAGGAACAGATGAGCTACAGATCCATTATGGAAAAGGCAAGGCCTGGACCAGGGCAGCTCAGGTAGCGGATCTGGACTTACGCTCTCTCAACGTGAATGTGTAAGCAGCAGCAAACCCCTTGAAACGAAAGGCAATACTAGAGCAAATCATGGGGTGGGTGGCAGGCGTTGGCCGGACCTAATCTGTATCCAGGAAACCTACGTCACAAACTCTCCAGAACATGCCAGGGCACATAACCTGGTCTGGCCTTTCCGAAACATTGCAACACACGCACCGAGACTGGATCGGCAAGAGTGGCGATTTGGATTCCCTCTGACTCTCGAGCGGAAGTCATCCACTCCGCCGTAGATACGAGGGAGGGGAGATGGGCCGCCCTTCTTATGCTGGAAATAGAAGTAGTCAGTGTGATTTGCATCTATGGCCCCAATGACGTTGAACATCGCAAAACCTTTTTTGAATATATACGGTCCCAGCTGCCACAAGGCACCAACAATCGTCGCAGGTGATTTTAATGCAGCTATCGATCGTAGCCTTGACAGGTGGAGAGTCCCCTCCCCATGCCCCACTTATATAGAAGCGGATGAAGGAATCATCCGTAGGCTCTGCGAAGAGGAGCACCTCTTTGATTCCTTCAGGCGACTACACCCACGAAAGAGATTGTTCACGTGCATTCGCAATAGCAATACACCCTTACAATCCAGGTCTAGAATAGACCTCATCCTCTTGGCAGAGGATCTGGACGGGGCTCTGCAAGCAGCTGCCATCTTCCCACTAAGTCCATGGCCGGGAGCAGATCACAAGATGTGTGCGATATTACTCAGATTCCGCAAAAAAAACAGACTAGGGCCTCGCCTTTTACAAACTTAACACATCTATCTTCAAGCTACATCAATTTTGGGTTTTTCTTATAGACGTATGGGAATATTGGCGGACCACGCGGGACCATCATGACTCTTATATCGCATGGTTTAATAACAGATTGACCTTTGTGGTCAGGAAATGCAATGGATTTTCCAAAATACGAGTCAAAGAAAAATATGCACAGGAAATTAACATCCAGGAGAAAATCCGTAGCCTTGAACAAGAAAGCAGTGTGTCGCTGCTCATTCATCCTTAAACTAAATCCGCTGAATTACTACTAAGAAAACAAGTGCTAGAGTTCGCCCAACAAAGGTGGCAAAACTCCATCATAAGAGACACGTTATCTAGGCACAACACTGAAGGACAAATGGACGCATCCTTCTTCGCGCTGGTACATATTGCGGTCAGACGATCGTCTGTAGAGGGGCTTTATGACCCGATTAAAACCCACAAAGTCACCTCATATTCCTCGGCCCATGGCTTAAAAGTGGCCAAAGATTTCTATAAAGAACCTTTTTCTTTCATCCTAACCAATGAGTCAGAGCAGACACAGGAAAGAAAAATTACAGAGTTCATACTCCCCCTCACTGCACGATTATCCAATGAGCAGAGAGAGGCTCTGGATAAACCGCTACGAAAGGAGAAAATCTGGAATGCCCTCCTGTAGATGGAGGAAGACAAAAACCCCTCGGGTGGACGGGCTCCCTAAAGAATTATGGGAGGAGATGTGGTCTATGTTAGAGGAGTTGATGGAATATTATCACCAGGTGAAAGCCTCGGGAATATGGGGGAGCTAGTGAGTCAGGGGATCCTCACCCTTTTGTACAAAAAAAGGAACAAAACAAACGTAAGGAATTACCGACCGATCACACTCCTTACGATTGTCTATAAGTTGGTGGCCAAAACAATGGCCAACAGGATGATTCCTATCCTGGAGGAGATAATTCACCCCGCACAAACAGGGTTCATGCTAAACAGGAACATTCACGACAATGTGTTATTGGTTAATGAACTGATTAAGCTATCAAGACAGTCACGACAATATGCAGCCATAATTTTTATTGATTTCGAAAAAGCATACGATCATATAGACTGAAAATTCCTGGACAAATGTCTGCAAAAAATGAACTTCGGTCCAGAATTCCGTAACTGGATTATGATACTCCATAATAATGCGACCACACGGGTACAGGTAAACGACTTGTTGACCCCAGAAATTAAATTTCAGTGCTTCGTGCAGCAGGGTGACCCGCTAGCCCCCTTCCTATTCTTGGTAGTGATGGAAGCACTGACAGCTAATCTGAGAATGAACAAAAAAATCTCCAGACTTCGACTGTCAGGCATCGCGGAAGATGCCATCCCGATCTACTCGATGTTTGTGGATGACCTTACGATAGCAGCCGAGGCTACCCACAGTAACATGGCCGAACTTCAAACCCTCATGGACCGGTTCACCTCGGTATCTGACATGTCTGTCAATTGGGGGAGCAAAACGCAAGGCTGGTGGATCCACTTCCATGGAGTTCGCCCACCTGAACAGCCTAAGGTTGACTTGAGATCCCTTGATGAACCAATCAGAGTCTTGGGGGTGGTGCTCTTAGCCCATGGACCGTCGACAGGAAACAACGAATGGATCACTAATCCGACACTGGAAATAATGCAGAATTGGGGCAACAAAAACACATCCCTCTTTCGAAGGGCTCTAGTCATAAACAACGTGGTGCTTGCATCCATCTGGCACAAATCGGCCCTCTGGCAACTAGGAAAGGATCGTACCGGGGACCTTAAAAAGCACCTGGTTGCCTTTCTCTAGTGGGGGAATCATAAGCAACAAAACGTAATCAACAAGGTGGCTTGGGACAAGCTAATCCAGCCAAAAACCAGGGGAGGACTAGGCTTACAAGCTATTGCACTATCAATCTAATGGATCAAAAAATTGATAGTTGGAATAAATCTTTCGCTTCAGGATCTGGCTTTGGAACAAATCCGCAGACTCACCCCGAGAACTCCCAACACAGTAAACCCCCTCACATGGATTGAGGACCGGTATTGGTCTATACCCCGCCCTCGCTCGAACTCTTAAGAGGAAGGGGACAGAGGAGCAGCTAGGCAAATCTGGTAAAGGATAAGTTATGGATCGACCTTTTTAAAATATGGAGGAGGCTGTCAATCACTGATAGGCCGGCCCCGGAGCGAGCGGAGGAGATCCTACGTCAACCCCTGTTTGGGAACAGGGCAATCACAGACAGGCATGGAAGAGTCTTCGCCAACTCGGACCCCCACTGGGCCTCATGGGTTAGGCAAGGAATTCTTAGAGTAGGGGATATATGGGATGAGGCAACCAAAGACTGAAAAACAGCCTAACAATTACGTCCCTGCCTACGCCACACTCGCAAGGTGGCAGATGCCCTCAAACATTTGACATTTTCGATGCCCCTTGCCTGGGTGGCGGCCCTAAGAAACGGCCAGATACCTCAAGAGCAGGACTAGGTAGCTGTAAGGGTAGTCGACTTCCCCTTGCAAATTGGCATGGTAGTTGAGGTCAGACCGGAAGGGGCCATGGTCAACCTTTTCAAAAGAAGAGGGGACGATACCTTGGTACGCTACCATCTAGACTCAGTCCAATGGCATGAGAGGACCAACCTCTATCGGATTTGGATCCTGCAGAGCCATGAAGAAGAGAGGACTCAATTGCGGGCATTTCTACCATAAATCCCCCTGTCCGCTTTACCCCTGGACCCTCTAGAATGGCAATGGGTTAGGGGACGAAATGGACAAGCAGTGCACCTCTTAGAGCTGACTGTTAAAGCCACTTATAGGATGATCAAACTTCGGGTCGACATTCGGGCAGGGATAGAAGAACGCTCGCAAAAACACCTTGGCCTGCATAGGGATCAAGTTAGAAGGTTGCAGTGGTTCAAAGGGGTGAAAGAGAGACTAGCAAAGTTCGCCTCTCTACAGGGGCAAATCTTCCACAGATGCCTCCCCAACAAAGTTGTCAGGCGGGGACCCCCGGGGGCAAAGTCGAGGTAGGGGCTTGACCCCCGGACCCCCGCCGCGAGGGTGCCCCCCCCCGGGGGCAAAGTCGAGGTAGGGGATTGACCCCCGGACCCCCGCCGGGGGGGGGCCCCCCCCCCCCCCAAAACGCCCCCACCGGTGCCCCGCCCCCCGCACCCCCGCACCCCCGCACCCCCGTCGCCCCCCGCACTCCTGCACCCCCGCACCCCCGTCGGGGAAGTGGTGACTACCGTTAAACAATTTGTGGAAACAAAAATAAGAGCACAATGGCAACGAATTCAGGAGAAAATAGTAATTCTAACACAGAAGTCAGACATCATTAAGGAAATCCAAACCTTCTGCGCAGAATGGCTGGGAGGGGAAAAGGGGGGCAGGATGGCTCAGATAGATTGGCCTGGGGAAAAAGGAAATGAGGGGGGAGGCAGAGACTTCGCCAAGGACTACAAGCTCAGATTTCACGATTGGCTGCAAGTTGATCCCAGCACCCCAATGAAAAGCCCCGAGGATTTCCAAGGCATGTTCCTGTTGGCAGCCACAACCATAGTAGCGAGGCAATGGTTTCGTCAGCAGTAGAAAAGGGGGGGGGCTTAGTCTCTCAGTCAAGAAACGGGTCCAGGGGGAGGAAGGAACTATTGTGCAACATTGTACCTTAGCGCCAGGCTCAAGATGAGGAGGTGCCACGCCTTGGAGAGCTCGACAAGGAATAAGACAGGGTCAGTGAATGTAGTGTTTGGTCGGGGAGTCCTGGGGTTCTGAGCATTCGAAGGACCCTTGTGGTAATTGTTGTTTGAGTAGCTTAGCAATAGGTCCCCAACAAGTACTATTGCAATAATCTACACTCTTTGGTTTTCAGAGAAATCAATGGCAGGGAGAGGGAGGAACTAGTATGTAACAGCAGGCATCTGCCGCCGGTTCCAGGGTGAAGAGGTTCCCCCCTCTCCCTAATATCCTGCCCAGTCAATCCCCTGGATTCAAGGGCAATCAATGCTGGCAGGAATCCTCCACAATTTTGATTCGGATTTGCTCTGGACGCTGGACCCGCTTTCCAGCAGGTGATGCTCCCCACCAATAGACGGAGCCGCTCCCTAGGAGCATGGTCCCATTAGCAGTCGGATAGGAGTGTGGCCTATCCAGTGTGACACTGAGTGGCAGCGAGCTGACAGGTTCATTACGAATTTCTGGGCTGAGAAAACAGGAGAAAGGCAAAAAAAAAGAAAGAAACAGAGACCTGTCACTGGAAATCACGGCAGAGTGTTTCCCAGCCACCAGATCACGGATGATCTGATGGTGGTGGTTGCAACAACAGTGAACAGAGTAACTCCGACATTTTTTCTCGAATAAACTCGACTTCTCTCAGTAGTGATCCTGACACCCTCCACATACTTCGTGAATGAAAGAGGGCTCACCTAATGAGATAATCGCACAACAACAAGTAAAACATTGAAAATCTTCTTTCCAGTGGCCTATGGCCGACCCCACCCTCTTTTGGGGTTGGCCACACTCCCAACCGATTGAAAAGATTCAGCTTTCTTTGCACAGGCATGCCCAGTGTTAAACCACCAGTACCTACCGGTTGTTAAGGCTTGTGGCTCAGGCTACCGGTAGCCCGGTCATTCCCCAGCCTCAGACTTTATCGCCGAGCCTCGGACAACCGGTAGGACAACGAAAAAAAAAAAAAAAAAAAAAAAAAAAAAAAAACATTCTGCAAAAACAAAACAAAACAAAACAAAACAAAATCAAACCTTTCCAACGAGAATGAATCTTCCTCGATAAAGAGGAAGATTCATTCTCGTGAGAGAGAGAGAGAGGGCGTCAGCCAGTGTCTGACGCCGAGTTTGGTGCACCAAACTCAGCGTCAGACACTGGCTGACACCCTCTCTCTCTCTCTCTCTCTCTGTGCGTGTGTGTGTGTGTGTGTACGTTGAAATTAGAATGAATCTTTCGCGATAACGCGGAAGATTCATTCTCACTTCAACGTCTCTCTCTCTCTCTCTCTCTCTCTCTCTCTGGGCCCTGGCGAGGTTCGCCGGGATGTCGGGCAGTCTGTGGGGGGTTTATCTCCCCGCCGAGTACCCCCGACTTAGGGAGTTTCTGGGCCGAACGGGGGTGTAGGTTAATGTATTTTAGTTTTTTCGTTTCTTAGATTTGTGGTTTTTATTGGTTTCTATTTTATTTTATTTTATATTTTTTTACGGGATGGGAGGACTCTTTTTTTTTTGGAAGGAAAGGAAAAGAAAGCGGACGTCGGTAAAAAAAAAATGGTGTTGGAACTATTCGCCCGATGGGTTTTTTGTGTGGGATTGCAGCGGCGGAAATACGACTCGGGTCAGTTTGGACGTCGGGTTTGGTGAAAGAGCAGTCGCGTTTGCGCGATAACCAGGATAATTTTGGGTCATCAGAGCTGGTGGAAGGAGAGGAGATGCAGGATCACTAAGGGTAACGAAGGGTTTGGAGGTGTCAGCCGGATGAGAGAAGACAGGGAGATCGCAAAGTACGAACGCGTGTAGCCTGTAGTTAGGAAGGGGAGCTGATGCTTGACGAGCTCGACAGGGAGAGGAATGTGTAAGGGCAGTAGGGCAGACTGTGGACGAGCAATGGAGCTGATGAGACGTGAGGTACGAAGGATGGAAAGAGGAACGAGGGGTTGTGATTGGGAGAGGAGGAGGAGAGGGGAGGAGAGGAGGGGAAGAGGGAGACGAAAGGGAAGGCGGAAAAAACGAAAAAAAGGAAGTGGGAGAGAGGGCCGTTGGGGAAGGTGAGCGGATGAAGCTGATGGGACACGAGTGAGGTTACGAATGGGAGGGGCGAGGTGAAGGAGAGGGGGAGTGGAGGCAAGAAGGGAGCACCGGTTTAGAAGATTTGAGGAGATAGAGTAGTGGGCAAGAGATCAGGCAGCAGCGGGAGTGTGTAGTCTGTGTAGGTAAAGTGGGGTAGAAATGCGCACTGAGACTATTTAAGAGGGATGACATGAGCAAGTGAGGTATCTCGATTCATCATGGAGAAGGAGGGGAAAGCCCCCTGATGAGTCCGTTGCGTACGCCGGCGGTGAAACGCGTAGGCGCATTGTGTACATTCGGTTTGTTTGTTTTCCGAGCTTTTAATGATGAGTATGGATCGAGAAACTCGTGAGTGGAGTTGAGGGATGGATGCCATTGGGTTGGGGTTGCTGCTTTCTTTCGTTCCTCCTTACTCTCGTCGAAGGTGGTAACCGGTTATGGTTGACGTCTCACGGTGGCTACGGTGTGCTCGGTGTTAAGTCCTGCGGCGTGATCGTCCTCGGGAGCATCGTACATGACGAGTAAGAAGCGTGATCATCTTAGTGTGGTTGTATGAGAAGCATCGTGGCGTGATCGTCCTCGAGTACTCTCTGCGAGCCGCGAAGGGTGATCTGTTCTCACAGAGGAAGGAAGATGAGACATGCGGCGTGATCGTCCTCGAGAGCAATCGTACTTAACGGATGAGGATTCGGAGCATGTTCGTCTATGAGAAGAATCGCGGAGTGTTTTTTTCGGGTGCTTCCTGTCTGGCGAGGTGCGAAATGTGCATATTTTTTCCGGGTAAATCGAAGAGGTAAGAAGAACCCAGGTAAGGTATGGTAAAGAAGGTGGTAGCACAGGCAAGGGCGTTGATCGCTCGTGCTTGTTGGTTTGTATTAGGCGTGTGCGGTGTCTCCATGGTGTGTCAGACCGGGAGGAGGAGTGGTTGGAACGTGTGGGAAGTCGAAGTGCGCATTATAGTTACGTGGAAGGGTAGGTAGGAGAAGGATAGGGGGATGACGGACCGGAATTTTAGGGAAGCAGAATTCAATAGACTGTGGCAGGACCTGGAGAGAGCCGTATATGACAGGGTGGTACCGTTGATATTTGTAGCGCTAGAGTTTAAGGGCGAAAGCACGAGGGAGGAGTTGGTAAGCAAGCTTGAAAGATTTTTAGGGAGACTTTATAGTGTGGGTTGTGTGGTAAGGGATAGGAGGAGGAGGAGGAGACGACAGTGGAGGAGGGGGGCCGGTAGGTAGGCAGGATGCAGAACATGGGTGCTCCACAGATTCAAGGGTATGGGAATGGGGTCGGTGGAGGGAATCAACCGGGTGTCGTGTCGTGCTATATATGTGGGAAGGTCGGCCATTACGCCCGGAACTGGTGGGCTGCCGGGAGTGGGAGGCAACCGGTTCAGCAGCAGCCCATCCAACCGATGGCAGCGGTGGATGACGAAACCAAGGAGATGCGGGAGTACTTTCGAGAGAAGATTAGGAAGAGGAAACTTGACGAGGAGAGAAGGGAGAGGGAAGAAGAGGAGAGGCGACGGAAGGAGGAGGAGAATAGAAGAGAACAGGAGAGGCTGAGGGAGGCGGACGCAAGAGAAGCCCGCTTGGAGGCTAAACTGGTGTGTTTGTTGGCTCAAGCCTCAACACACCCGTGCGAATAACAAACCGGAGAGTTACAGTGTTAAGAAGAAGTCGCCGAAAACTAAGGCTAGGGTCCTTAGGGAGATATGGAGCTATTTGGATGAGTCAGATGATGACAGCGAGGAAGTTAAGGAGGAAGCGGTGAAACTCGTTGACGCCATCGAAAGGAGGAAGGGGAAGGCGAGGGTGGGGGAATAGGAAGGGAGGATATCGAGGGTCTTGAAACGTGGGCACAAGGGCGACCCTGTGAAGATTGACGATGAAGAGGAAGTACGGACACCTCCGCCAGCGAAGAAGGGGACCGAGGATGGTGTGGCAAATCTAGGGATTCTGGAGTTCGCGATTGAACTGCATAAGCATCTCTCTGAAAAGAAGGCACCTGAACTTCGGAAGTTATGTAGCCAGGAGGGTATAACGTGGTCAAGGAAGGATGTGGCTATCGGTGAGCTTGTGAAGTGCAAAGCGAAGCTAGCTTACGATGAGTTTAATGAGAGCGAGCGGATTTCTCCGTAATGAGTTTAATGGAGGAGGTAAGTATGAATGACTTGAAGAGAGCAATGTTGGCAAGGGGGGAGAGGGTCTGAGGGTGAATGAGCGCATTGAGGGACTGAGTGCTTCCCGGGAAGATCAGATATTTAGGATGTTTCTTTTATGTGTTATCAGGGGGGAGTGCCCATGGGCGAGGAAGTGGGTGGGGTTGGTAAGCAATGGGGAGAGGGTTCTTTCTACCAGAGATCCTGGGGTTTATGCGTTGGTAAGTCCATGGTGCCGTCATTTCTATATTGGTTGCACTACGCAAACCGTGATCAGGAGGTGGTCCGATCACGTGAAGCAAGTGATTAACGGTGACTTGGGCAATGCTCCGAAATTGCATACGTGGCTTCGGATCTTTGGTTGGGAAAGGTATTTGGTCGTTCCTTTGGTAAACGGGATTCAGGATCTGGGGTTCCTCGAGACAACGTTGATCCGAAGGTTCTCACCATCCCTGAATACTCAGAGGATGGGGAGGGAGGTGTGGAAGGGTAGGAGGAGGAAAGCTTAGGGAGAAGGGAGAGAGGGAAGAGGGGGTCAAATACGCTTGGGGGAGGGGTGATGAAGTTCGATGACCGGGTCTCCCTCGTTGATCTATTGAAAGAGTTGCAGGGGAGGCAAGGTGTGCTTCATATCACAGTGACAAAAGGAACGATTTGGAGTGATAGTTGGAGGGTGGTACGGGGGAAAGTGGGAGAGAGTACGGTGATGGTGGGAGGGGTGGAGAAACCCATTAGGGAGTGTAAACGGATTATGGAAGGAGGAGGAAGGTTTCAGGTGGGGAAGGTGCGGATCATGCTGTCCGGGATTGAGCATTGCAAGTATATCCTAAGGGATGTCCTGACACAACCTTGGAAGGTACGCCTATTGTATGCCAAGAGCTCCCGGGATCTATTGGCGCTTTTCAAAATCTCTGCGCTGTTCTCCGAGAAGAAGAGTAGGAACCATCTGTAGAACCTTTTGACCAGGATCGTGAGATCAAAATACGGGAGCGAGATCCGAAGGAAGCCATGTGTGAAAGTTCCTTTTTCACCAAACGTGAATTTGGGTGCGGTGAAGCAGGTGGCGGCTGATATCATACGAGGAGCAATGCCGGATCAGGACATTGCCAGATTCGTGGCAGCAAGGGTGAGGGTCGTGGTAAGGAAGAGGTTGACTGTCGGCATGATTATCCATAATCACTTGAAGTACGCTGACGGGGGGGATGCACGTAAAGGTGAGAATATGTGACGTTGGTGACATGCCAACGTTTATGTGGAACTCGAAGAATGTTACTTGTGGAAGCAACATCTCACCGGGTGCGCCGGGGGATTACGTCAGAGAGGGTGTTGAAGATTGGGTGCTAGGGAAGGGGGTCCACCTAACTCGTGAAGAGATCGGCAAGTGCTACTGAAGGGTGGGTGGCGGGAGAGGGGGTGCTATGACTGCGAATGAAGTGAGATTCTTTTTTCGTAAGTATAGCAATATGGTGGCTGTTCCGATTGATAGAAATCCAGGAGCCACGTTATTAGTATGTCCGGTCTTGTACCTCCGCGCATGCAAGGAGACCTTCAATTGGAATCGAAGTTTTCAGGTGATCAATGAGACGGAAGCTCAGGTGCTGGGGGGGATGAAGATGGAATACGAGCGCTTGAGTCTAAAGGGGGTGGCGAGGTGGCAAACGGGAGGGAGGATCGGACGAGCATATGTCTTACCCAAGGACAAGGATTTGGACCGGTGGAGGCCGATTTCGCCAGGTACCAACGATCCTGCGAGGCTCGCCGGAGCCCGGGTAGGGAGGGCGATTAGGTACATGTTGTTTGGCGTTCGGAGGACCGAGCATTTTGACCTTAGATCGACGGACGAGTTGAAGGAAAGGTGTGAAGCGTTTCAGCGGGAGATGGGGAAGGGAGGAGATGGTGTTCTCGCCAGGAGTTACGACATTAAAGATATGTTCGCTAAATTGTCGCATCAAAGGGTTATGGAGGCAGTGGAATGGCTGATAATGTATCATGAGAAGAGAGGAATGAAGGGTGCGAGGGTCAGTCAAAGGGGGAAGTTGTGCGCAATGAGGACCCTGAGGAAGGTCGAGGGTTTGGTCACTCTCGGGTTCGACGACATTAGGAAGGAGGTGGATTTTGAGTTGACGTATATCTATGTCGGGTGTACCCGTGTGGTGCTGAGGCAAATTTTCAGGATTCCTATGGGGAGGAATTCCAGCCCAGCTCTGGCGTGCTTGGTATGTGCGAGGTCTGAGGCGACCTTTATGCGCCAGGTGACCAGATCGGGGATGATGGTAAGGGGGATGAGGATGATTGATGATGTGGCAGTGATGGTCGGGTTTAGGACGAACCACATGGATACAATGGTGAAGGCTGCAACGATACTCGACGAATTTGAGAAGTGTTATGATGAGGATTTGAAGCTTGTCCGAAAGGATGGAGGGGGAAATGTTTTTGATTTCATAGGGGTTTGTATTTTTATCCTGATGATGCCTATTAGGATTGAAATACATCCCAGGACTAGGAACCAGCAGAGTCTGTGCAAGGAAGGAAGATTGAGGATTCAGTCGTTACAGGACTTCGCTTCTTTCACGAGGAAAGCGTCTAAGAAAGCCACCGTCTTTGCTGCCCTGGTTCGGATGCACCGGATATTGACTTCGGAAGAAGCGATGAAAGCTGCGATTGTGGCCTTGATGTTGGAGACACGCCTTCGGGGGTATCCCCCGAAGATCTCTCTCGGGGCCCTGGCGAGGTTCGCCAGGATGTCGCGCGGTCTGTGGGGGGCTTATCTCCCTGCTGAGGCGGCTGAGTACCCCGACTTAGGGAGTTTCTGGGCCGAACGGGGGTGTAGGTTAATATATTTTAGTTTTTTCGTTTCTTAAATTCGTCGTTTTTATTGGTTTTTATTTTATTTTATTTTATATTTTTTTACGGGATAGGAGAACTTTCTTTTTTTTTGGAAGGAAAGGAAAAGAAAGCGGACGTGGGTAAAACAGGAATGGTGTCGGAACTATTCGCCCGATGGGTTTTTTGTGTGGGATTGCAGCGGCGGAAATACGACTCAGGTCAGTTTGGACGTAGGGTTTGGTGAAAGAGCAGTCGCGTTCGCGCGATAACCGGGATAATTTTGGGTCATCGGAGATGGTGGAAGGAAAGGAGATGCAGGATCACTAAGGGTAATGAAGGGTTTGGCGGTGACAGCTGGATGAGAGAAGACAGGGAGATTGCAGAGTCCGAACGCGTGTAGCCTGTAATTAGGAAGGGGAGCTGGTGATGCTTGATGAGCTCGACTGGGAGAGGAATGTGTAAGGGCAGTAGGGCAGACTGTGGACGAGCAATGGAGCTGATGAGACGTGAGGTAGGAAGGATGGAAATAGGAACGAGGGGTTGTGATTGGGAGAGGAGGAGGAGAGGGGAGGAGAGGAGGGGAAGAGGGAGACGAAAGGGAAGGTGGAAAAAACGAAAAAAAGGAAGTGGAAGAGAGGGCCGTCTGGGAAGGTGAGCGGAAGAAGCTGATGGGACACGAGTGAGGTTACGGATGGGAGGGGCGAGGTGAAGGAGAGGGGGAGTGGAGGCAAGAAGGGAGCACCGGTTTAGAAGATTTGAGGAGATAGAGTAGTGGGCAAGAGATCA